TTTTTTTGGGACAGAGAGAGACAGAGCATGAACAGGGGAGGGGCAGAGAGAGAGGGAGACACAGAATCGGAAACAGGCTCCAGGCTCCGAGCCATCAGCCCAGAGCCTGACGCGGGGCTCGAACTCACGGACCGCGAGATCGCGACCTGGCTGAAGTCGGACACTTAACCGACTGCGCCACCCAGGTGCCCCGGCCAGTGTCCATTTTAGTGCACAAAGAATATAGAATGTGTTTGAGGTGAACCAAACCCTGAAAGCTGAGTCTGTTCAACAAAGTAGAGTGGTTTTAAAAATTGAACAAATAGAAAGAAGGGGGAGAAAGGTTCTCCTGGAGCCATTTGACTAACAGCTTAACAGGCAGAGAGGAATTTATTTCTCAAACACAGGCCCTTTGAGCGAGCTCCCCAAGGGGTCTCTGCTGACCATCAAACTACCTTCTAAGCAGCTTCTGTTTTCCTTTTCTGTAGGGGGCCCGAATCCCACTTGCCTCTGTTGCTACCAAGGTGAAATTGCCCAAGGAGAGCCTTTTCCCTGAGCCTTTGCTCCCCAAAGAAAAGCCCAAAGAAGAAGTGCCCAGTGATGAGAGAGCTGTGCACTCTCCTATCCGATCACAGCCAGTGGCTCTGCCAGAAGCCAGGACACCTACCTCCCCAGTTAGTTCACAGCACCTGTCACCGCTGGCCACCTCTACCCCCACCACTACCCAGCTCCCCATTTGCTCCCAACCCCAGCCTTCCTCTGAGGCCACTGTCCCGTCCCCCACCAAGTCCCCCATATGCTTCCAGCCCATTCCAGCCAAAACACCCATCCCCCTGGCTCCCCTCCCCTTGAAGACCCAAGGGGACACCAAGGACAGATTGGGCAGCCCTCTTGCTGTGGATGAAGCCCTGAAGCGGAATGACCTGGTGGCAGAGTTCTGGATGAAGAGTGCCGAGATCCGCCGTAGCCTCGGACTCACACCCGTGGATCGGAGCAAGGTGTCCGAGTCCAGCTTCCCCTCCCCGGCCTTTAAACCAGTGTCCCTAAAATCCTATTCAGTTGAGAAGTCTCCTCAGGGTGAGGGGCTCCAGCTTCTAAAACCTCCACCTATTCCTAAGAGGCTGGGCCTGCCGAAGTCAGATGGCGACCAGCCCTCGCTGCCAACCCCCAAGTCCCCATCTGACAGAGAGCTGAAAAGCTCCCATGAGGAGAGGAGAGACCTGTCGAGCAGCTCTGGGTTGGGCCTTCATGGGAGCTCCTCCAATATGAAGACTTTGGGCAGCCAGAGCTTCAACACCTCTGACTCCACCATGCTCACTCCTCCTTCAAGCCCACCCCCACCCCCACCCCAGGATGAGGAGCCCGCAACTCTTCGAAGGAAGCCATATCAGATTTATGAGCATAAGGAGACCGAGCCCAAGGCCTCAGTAATCCCACCCCCACCACCTGCATCCTTTATGAGGGCCCCCCGAGAGCCTGCCCAGCCCCCTCGAGAGGAGGTGCGGAAGTCGTTTGTGGAGAGTGTGGATGAGATCCCCTTTGCTGATGACGTGGAGGACACCTATGATGACAAGACAGAGGACTCGAGTCTGCAGGAGAAGTTCTTCACACCCCCCTCTTGCTGGTCCCGCACCGAGAGGTCCCTCCATCCACCCCTAACCAAGGAGAATGGTAGGTTGCCTACTCTGGAGAGTGGGGTCCAGCCACAGAAGAGGGTCCTGCCCTTAGTCTCTCCAGAAGCCAAGGAGCTGGCTGAGGAGCGCATGCGAGCCAGGGAGAAGTCTGTGAAGAGCCAGGCGTTGAGAGACGCTATGGCCAAGCAGCTGAGTAGGATGAAGGAGATGGAGATGGCGGCTGGGACCTCCAGGCCCCCAGGAGGCACCTCCCGCAAAGCCTCCTCAGTTCCCTCCAAGGGCAAAGAACTTGGCTTCGAGTCCCCTAAACGCCCAGTTCTCAAAGGCCCCAGGGAGCCCACCCTGAAGCATGAAGCCACTAGTGAGGAGGTCCTCTCCCCTCCGTCGGACTCAGGGGGCCCAGATGGTTCAGTCACCTCATCCGAGGGCTCCAGTGGGAAGAGCAAGAAGAGATCGTCACTCTTCTCCCCCCGCAGAAACAAGAAAGAGAAGAAGTCCAAAGGTGAGGGCCGGCCCCCAGAGAAGCCCAGCCCAAACCTCCTGGAGGAAGCAGCCGCCAAACCCAAGTCCTTGTGGAAGTCAGTCTTTTCTGGGTATAAGAAGGACAAGAAGAAGAAGGGTGATGACAAGTCCTGTTCCAGCACCCCTTCCAGCGGTGCCACTGTGGACTCTGGCAAACACAGGATGTCTCCTGTCGTGAGAACAGGTACGTCAGCACCAAGGGACCCTTCCTGGGGCAGGGCATAAGGTGTGTGTTCTCAGCCATCGGTTCTTCTCTTAAGATCCATTTCCTCATGCTGCCTCCCTAAGGGTCCTTAGGAGCAATGCTAACGGGGTGAGGGAGAAGGAAACTGAACCATAAGCTCACACAGCATATTCTGCGTGATAGACTAATGGTAAAACCCGGCTCAAAACTGAGTAAGGGAGACTCGGGAGGTTTGTGCACTTCCTCAAGTCACACCACCTCAGAGGAGAGCCTGATTCTGAGCAAGGCGGAGCGCAGCGTTGCCGGGAGGAACCAGGCAGGCCTCTATTCAGTGTTAGCGCTGCCCCGGCCAGCACAGGTGTCAGCCTCCAAGCTCCTGGCTCCCCACTATGGGTTAAGAGCCACTCAGACTGGAAAGAAATAAAATCTGTACCCCACTCCCCTGGGCAGCTTGTGTGAATGTAGACATCAGGAAAGTACTGTGGTGTCCTCGATTTGCCTCTTCTTTCCATCCCATTAGAGCTGCAGCTGCGGCGCCAGTTGAGTTTCTCAGAGGATTCTGACCTCTCCAGTGACGACATCCTTGAGAGGTCCTCCCAGAAGTCCAGGCGAGAGGTATGTAGGCCCTGTCCGTAACGGGGCTTCAGAAGGGGTCAAGGACTTGACTCTCATCCTCTGTGTAATTGGTCTTCGGTGAGGTGGAAGAGAGGGAAAGCACATCTCAAGCCCTGGGTTGAAAGTGAGCACCCTCCTCTGATCTCCCAGTAGACACACAGCTGTCTCCTGAGCCCAGCCCAGCTCCAAGTAAGAGACACATACAGGGAGCTCTTTTCTTGGGCTTTTTCAGTGAATAGCTGGCGCTTATTTGCTTCAATGGCAAGAGTTCCTTTGTTTAATTCTTGGGAAGAAGACAGAGGCATTCCACACTCAGAGAGTCACTAGATCTTTAGCAAGCAGCTGGCATTGTCCATTTGTTCTTTTGTCCTCAAAGATCCCAGGTGGAATAGCATCCACCAATGCCCAGAGTGACAGGAGAAGGGTTGTTCGTGCCACACATTCTGGTGGAGGCTTGGACAGGGACAACACGGTTTAGGCATCTCTAGACAGAGGCTGAATCACCCCTGCTTTGTATGTTTGTGGATTAGAGAGGAATTTTTGCTATAAAAGAACTGGTCCAGGAAACTGCCCTGGGTTCTGTGCTGAGTGGGGCACTATGTATCTGACTTGGTCCCTCTTACTACAGGCTTAGGAGATGATGTGGCCACTCAAGTCTCCTGAAAAGTAAAACCTCAATGTGGAGCGCTCCTTCATCACTAGCCCCCTTGGATATTTATTCAATCTTTTGGTTTCCAAGGCCTCTTGTAGCTCTGTGTAGATACAGTGAAGGTGGAAGAGAGAGAGGGATTAGAGAAGTTCTAACACAACCTCTGTGTCACAGAGACAATGATGGGGTGCGGACTACAATCCAGAAAGGCCTGGGCAGCACTCAGGAGTGGTTGAAGCTGTTCCATCTCCATTGTCTGGCCCTGGGACACACACTCACCCTCCTGTCCCAGCTACTTTCAGCTCCCTTTTCTGAATGAAAAATTTCCCCAGAACATCATGTGCCTTCTTTACAAGGCTCCCCAGGGCTTGGATTTGAGTCTGCCCTCTCCATCAACTTCCAGGCAATTGCCATGGAAGACCTATGCCCTGCACACACCTGTTCAGTAAAGATGACTTCTGCAGCCATTTCCAGTCTCCCTGCTCCCAGCTCAATCCAGCTTTTAGCAACTTGGTCAACTGGAGGAAACCCATGTTTTAGTTCTCCTCTCATTATTGGTCTGTTGGTCTCCCTTGGCCATGCCAGCTATTTACCTATCCACTCTCCTAGAAGTATACCTAAACAGCCAGGCCTCTCATCCTGCCCTCCATGTGCAGAGCCAACTTCTACCTGTCCCAGCCAAGCCAGCACAGACAGCACTGAGTTAGGGTTGGGACCTGTGTGCCTCCTCTCCTGCAGAGACCTGGTTTCATGTGCCTCCTATCAAGTGCTTTCCCAGGCAGTGGTGTTGATCCTGGGATTGGAACTAAGAGTTGCTTCTGGATATGTACACGGGTGCCTCAACATGTCCTGACACTGGAGACTGGCACTGCCATAGGGAGGGCTGGGGGGGTCCATGAAGGACCAAGGTCCAAGGTCACTTTGCTTCCATGCAGACGTTCAGCCATTTCGTCTCCTGTTGGTCAGAAACACCCATCTGTGGTCAGTCTCTCCACTGTTTCTCTATTAGTTAATCCTGGCAGAATGCAGAGTGGCAGACTGCCCAAGCTGACTATGCCAAGGACATGTTCTTGGTAATACATGTCACTGACAACAGCCTCTCCTGGGGCCTTACTGGCCCCATAGGTAGCTCTTCCCCTCCTACATGAACAACAAGTCATGGACCCCACTCCTAGAACCCCAGAATCAGAGGCCTTGGGGACTTCACATTCCATGTGTGCCCCACAGAGGCAGAGCCATTTGCTATAGGCTAAGCAAAGAATACTCAAGACAAAGCTGAGCCTAGGACATGTTGACCAGAATCCCACCATGGTGTGGTGTCGGGCTGGGCGAGAGCAGGTACTATGTATTTTTAAGGATGGAAGCTAAAGCAGGAAAACAAACAAAAACAGCTATTCAGGACACTTTGGAATAATTAAGTGAATTTGATCATGGATGGTATAATATGTGTAGATATGCAATGTTATCACATCGATGCCAGGTTCCTTGTAAGACATTAAGGTACTATAGTCATATAGGAAAACATCTGTTCTTAAGAAGAATGTGCTAGAATTTGTAGGCATAAAAAATGCCTACAAATCATTTTTTTAAAGGTGTATAAAGATTATATATATGAAATATGTAGCAAAATGCTAACATTTAGCAAATCTGGGCCTAGGGGTTCACTGTCCTCTTTCAACTTTTCCTATGTTTGAAAATTTTCAGAGCAGGAAGTGAAGGGAGAGGGGATACCTAAAGGGACAGTGTGGCTGGGATTGACTCAGGAAGAAGCATCTTGTTGACATGCCTTACCCGAGCAACCGGGCCCACACAGTTGGGGGAAGTGGTTCCTCTTGCATCATAGACCCATCTCTGAGTCAGGCATCTGTGAAACAAGTACCTGAGTTTTGTTTCATTTCAAAAAAAAAAGAAAGAAAGAAAGAAAGAAAGAAAGAAAGAAAGAAAGAAAGAAAGAAAGAAAGAAAGAAAGACAACTGGAACTGAGAACAACTTATTTTTATTGAAAATGCTTATGTAGAAAAGTTAAGATAATACAGATTAAATATATGTATCACCCGTAATCCTACCAACCAAAGGTAATTCACGTCCACCTCTTTTCTTTGCCTCAGTCTTACTTTAAATACAAATGGCGCACTGCATCTTGATCCCTGTGGCCTAGCCACGGGCCTGTCATTTGCACTGGGTCAGGCCAAGGCGTTTCATAGCAGAAGCTTCAGCTCTGTGGCTGGCCTCATTTTCTCAGCACACCACAGATGCATCATGATTTCAATCCTGTAGTCGCTGCCCCTGCCAAGTTGGTACCTGTCTTCTGCCAGAAATCAGTAGGTGATTGCCCCCACTCCCTTTACTTTGTACACCAGCCACAGGTACAGATGCTAAGTGCTGTTCCTTGTGGTTGTGGTTACATAGTTCCTGTGGAGTGGTTTACTTGCTGCTTGGGGAAAATCTGTGTCTTCTGTGTTTTTAATGGACTTGTTGTTATAATGAGATTCATCCTCTCCCTCTGGTTTGTGGCAGAGAAGAGTCAGTCTGAGGCAGTACGTACACACTTAAAGTTCAGTGCCACTGCTAGGAGGGAGACCCATTCTGCTCTGAGCCACTGTGCTCTTGAAATGCAGTCCCACTATACTGGTCCACACTGATGCACAGAGAAGCAACAAGGGAACAGGGGGTTACAGTCTATCCTGAAGCTCTCAGAATCTCTCGTCGGCAGCATCCAGAGCTCCTGGCTCTTCTCTCCTCCCTTACTCCTTTACTGCATTTTAGCCATTTGTTGGGGCTGGTGAGAAGACGAGAGAGCAAATGTAACTAACCTTAGCTCTGGGCAGCTCTGCTCAAGGTTTAGTGGAGAAGAGGTTGCATTCACCGACATAGGTGCCTGACATATATCTGGTGAATATCAGTTATTTATGCTATTTGAGGTCCCTATCACACTGTATAATCAAGAAATGACCCCTACCCCCATTCAGGATTTCTGGGTGGTCCCCTGGAAACCCACTTTGGCCCTGTTCAAAAACACTGCCAGGAGAGGGGTGCCTGGGTGGCTCAGTCGGTTCAGCAACCAACTTCAGCTCAGGTCATGATCTCAAGGTTTGTGAGTTAGAGCCCCGTGTCAGGCTCTGTGCTGATGGCTCAGAGCCTGGAGCCTGCTTCTGATTCTGTGTCTCCCTTTCTCTCTGCCCCTCCCCCACTCATGCTCTGTCTCTGTCTCAGAAATAAATAAACATTTAAAAAATTAATTAATTAAAATAAATAAAAAAGAACACTGCCAGGAGAGAGCCTTTTGGAAGAGAACAGGTTTTATAGTCAGTTTGCCCTGTATCTGTGGTCTGTGTCCCTGGCAACAGGAATTTTCCACCACCTGTCCCCCTTCCCCCCACCATAACACTGAGCTGAAAGAAGTAGTCTGAATTTCCACAAGCAAATGGGCTATACTGAAGGAGAAGTAGCATATATAACCATATATTTGAACAGTTTTCGTTTATTATACACAAGGGAGAGTAAAAAGAGAACAGAGATTTGGGGCATAGTGAGGAAGAAGCTGTCTTCTCAGTATAAAAGTGAACCCAGGCCTTATTCAAAACCAGGTTCACGGAGACTCTGCTGCTGGGGTCTATGTAATCAGGTTCCTCACTTACGCAGTCCTGCGTGACACTGTGAAAAATAATCACGTGTTTTAAGTCTTTAGTCTTGTGTGTTTGTTTTAAACTTCTAACTGATTTTACTCCATTTCTGTGTTCTAGTTTTAATTTTTTAATTGTTATTATTACTATTCTGTTTTGTTTTCTGTTGCCATCCCCTTAAAAGTTGATTTATGTACCACACGCCTTGGCATTCAGGAGATCATATGCATCAAAGGTAGTGTCTCATTCCCATGGCTGGTCATTGTTGCATGCGTGTCTGTGATTAACCACCCGGAGCAGCCCCCAGCCCTGGCCCTCCGGCCACATCCTCACTAACTGTTCACACATGCATGGAGCAGTAGCAAACACTGGCAGCAGAACTTTCTTTAGCTGTGTCATGATGGAGGAAGGTGAGATCCCCTGCTCTTCACTGGCTGGAGTGCATGTGGTAATTTCACTCCAGGGCTGCCCCTTTGGGACTGGGCACCGCAGGAATCAGGAGTTCACGAGCCCTCAGCTCTGTGACCTGCGAGGTGAAATGCTTAGGGCGCTAGAACACCATGATGATCCTTTCAGACTTACCTGCTCAGTTGGCTCTCAATGATCACTTGAGTTCTTAAAATAAAGATTACGAGACTATACTCCTGAGTTGAATTTGGAAGTACCTTTTAAAGTCTATCAAAGTCTCTCTCTCTCTCTTTTTTTCCTTGGAGGAAATAAGATGTTAGGAATAGAAGCAGACCCCCCCCCCCCCCCCCCCCGCCCCCAGCATGTGCCTCTTGGTGGTTGCTCAGTGTTTACTCCAGGCATCTGACACTGCCTTGTGCCCTTGGTGCCCACATTTGCAGGTGGGGTTGTCAGGCAGATGCATCTGTGGATTTGCCCTGGATTTGGTCTGTTGCCTCCTCGGGGCTTGCACTGGCTGAAACCGCCCTGCCAGACCACTTCCTCCCTCCTTCTCAGTGGCCCACTGCTGCCTCTATGCAGACCCTGGAGTCAGTCCATGTTCACCTCCATATGTCCCTTCAGACTGTATTAGTTTGGGGTTCACTCAAACTTAGAATGGAGGCATCCCAATTTTTTCTACTTCAGATGTTACTTCTTAAAGAACCTTATAAATATCACTCATCTGAAGAAAGTAGCATTTGATACTAAATAAGAAAATAAAAGGATCCTGATTTTTCTTTTTCCTTTTCCTATATGTCTCCTAGAAGCAGGAGGCTTAGGGGAACTAATTACCATATTTTTACCCCTGGAAAATCTCAAAAAGACCAGACATCCTGACATGGGAAACAAGTGATTTCTGTGATAAAGGAGCATGTGGCCCTCAGTCAGTCCCTACTCAGCCTCCTGTCCCTGTCACAGTGGGGAAGTATCTCACTTGCAGATCTTTAGCTGTACCCTGTAGCATTTAGGGCTCCAGCAAGGATGAGTGTCAGTGAAGCCTCTGGCTGAGCTGCAGCCTGGGAGTCTGCACACACCTCACGGCTCCCTGTCCACCCCACGGGCACTCTGCAGAACGGCAGCTGCAACCTAGGGACAGTGCTCACTGTGCCCCCTGACAACCAGCACCCAAACCTGTCCCAGGCCTGCTGCGCCTGACTTAGGAAATCTCTCTCGTTCTCTCCAGCCAAGAACTTACACAGAGGAGGAACTGAACGCCAAGCTGACCCGGCGTGTGCAGAAGGCAGCTAGGAGGCAGGCCAAGCAAGAGGAACTGAAGCGGCTACACCGAGCTCAGGTAAAATCCCCAAAGGGGCCACAATTCTAAGTGTGAAAGAGCACCCTCCTCTCTAACATGCTTGTCCTTGTCCACAATGAGGGTAGGTAAAGAGAACAGAGCAGAGGTAGACGGGGTATCCCTGATAACTGAGAGAATAGCCCCAAAGTCTCAGGCCACAAGCATCTGGCTCGATGCAACTGTAGAAGCCTTGATTTTGTGGAGTTACTCATAGGAAAGGAAGAGCCATGCTTTGAGTTTCCTAAATTCCTTGCTCTGGAGTAATCATTGTAAAGTCAGCTGTTGTCAAGAGGCGACCTGGCAGCCTCTGATGGGCCTGGGGTTTCCAGGTCAGAGCTGTCCTCCAGGCATCAGCCTCTGACTTCAGGCCTCACAGATCCTAGACCATTCTAGATTTTCTTCATGGAACAAAAAATAATTTTTTATACAAAGTATAGAAGATATCTAAATATAATATGGTTTTTAAAATGAGGGTTGCCTGGGTGGCTCAGTCAGTTGAGCATCCAACTTCAGCTCAGGTCATGATCTCACAGTTCATGGGTTCAAGCCCCACATCGGGCTTTGTGCTGACAGTGCTGAGTCTGCTACGGATTCTGTGTCTCTTTATCTCTCTCTGCCCCTCCTCTGCTTGAGCTCTCACTCTGTCTCTCTCTCTCTCTCTCAAAAATAAATAGACGTTAAAAAAAAGATTTTTAATGAAATTGTGTGTGTGTGCGTATATATATATATATATATATATATGTACATACATATATACATACATGTATATACATATGTATACATATACGTATACATATATGTATATAGTTGTATTCATACAACAATGAGAAACATTAACAGCAAACCAACCAAATACCAACAAAGATACACCTTTGGATTCCATGTTTAGCAAGCATCAAAACCACCAGCCTTTTAATCCTTTTCTTGAACATTATTCTGTATCCACATTCTCTACATTGATTGGATTCCCGGATTTTATTTCATTTTCTGTGTGACATTCTCCAGATATACACCATTGGCTGCTGCTGGGTTGAATGTCCTTCTAGTAACCATTATCAGTCCCCATGGAGCACAGAGAAACTTCTCACTGTGTGCTTCCAAACAGATTCTGGCGTATTGCTCCATTCTAGATTTTTTTTTTTTTTAATCTTTTAGAGACAAGATTTCTGCAGTACTCTCCAAAAATGCCTTGCTAATGCTTTAGCAACCTCACTATTAGCAAGGTCTTACTTAGGCTGCAGAATGTCAGTCCTTCCTGCAGGAGCTTATATCCACTTCTATCTTTGAACTGCCCTGCAGAGGGCTGGTCGCTCCTTTAATGTGCACCCACACACTGTGGTGCTTACTAATGACAAGCCCTGGTCTGCATTGTTAACAAGGCCCAGGGGGATTCGATGTAGGTGGTCATCACACCACACTCTGGGCATAATGCCCATGGACTACTTTCCAACTTTTGGATCTAATTTGTTTTTCTCCCTGTTTGTGTTTGTACAGTTTAGTTGTCTTCCTGAAAGCTAGGAGGTGAGAGAGAAAGTTGGGTACTTACACTGTTCTGTTTTCCCGTAGATTATCCAGCGGCAGCTGGAGCAGGTGGAGGAGAAGCAGAGGCAGCTGGAGGAAAGAGGGGTTGCTGTGGAGAAGGCACTCCGTGGTGAAGCAGGTATTGTCTGGGTCTCCTTTGTGAGGAGGTTTGTTCCTAAAGGAAAGCCCCTGGCCCCACCCCATGGGAGGCTAGTTTTGTGTCACCTCGTCTGGAATTCAGCTTCTTTTCCAGCAGGGTTCTCTGGGGGCCTTCATCACCGAGATTGGGGCTTCCTGCTAAGCAGAGGAAAAGAAAAGCATCTCTGTTTGGGACTGCCCCAAGGCCTGGACTTGTTCTTCCGCCCTGTCTGAGGGCTTGCCATTTATCTGTAGAACGAATTCTCAGTCCACTTCATTTGTTGGTGGCAAGCACTGGGCCTCCTCCTCCTCTCTTCCTCCTCCTTTCCCACCCCATCATTTTCTCTAGAAGAAAATAACTGGGAATGAGGGAAACTGTACCAAAAGGAACCATCACAGAACTGCACGAGCAGGGCCCTCAGCCTGCTTCCCACATGCCACTTCCAGTCTTTAGCTCTCTGGGCTCCCTCCTGCTCAGACTTCACAGGGAATAGGAGGGCATGTGCCCCACAGAGTCCTCACTGCCTCCTGTGTGTGGAGTACACAGGTGTCCTAGTGTGCTGGTCACTCAGGGCAGGGTGGACAGGCTCAGGGGATGGTGGCAAGCCAGCACAGAGTAGACACTGGGAAATGGCTGTGAGGACCACGTGTTCAGTGGCTGCCATCCCCAGGGAAGAGCTGTGGAACATAGTGCAATCACCCCCACCGTTCATCCAAGGAGCCTGTGAGGTGGATTCAGCACAGTTGGGCACACAGAAAGCAAGGAACAACCTGAGTCATCCCTAGTCCCAAGGGCCTAGGAAGAAGCCCTGTTGGTTCAAGACCTTGAAACCACTGGGCCAACCCCAACTATAGCTCCAACTCAGGCATGGAGTGACTGATCTCTGCTTTCTCAAGAGTCCATGAGTCTCGGTCCAGTGTCTGGATGGAGAAACCTCCCTCTCCTTATAGAGAGCCCAGGCCTCCAGGTTCAGCATTCAAGTTGTGAGGCTGGGGATGAAGAAAGGAGGTGACCTAACTTTGCGGTAACCCCTAACTCCTTATTCTAGCAATGCAGAAGGGCAGGGGTGGTGCATCTCCTGGTGGGCGGGCTCTCTGTAAACTGAAGCAGAACCAGTAAGAGGCAGTCAGGAATGGGACCATTTGCTGCCATGTGATCTTGCTGAGCTGACCTCACAGTGTGTGCCTGATGTCAAGATGAATTCACAGGGTTCTGTAGGTCCAAAGTTCATGTGGGGGGGCGTCAGGGTTCAGACATAGAAGTGGATCTTTCCAAGCCCTTCAAGGCCTAGAAATTGCAGCTGACCAGTTGATTCAATGATGACCTTCAGGTGAAGAGATGGGATGGGAGAGAAAGATGAGGATGTGATGTTCTTGGTTTTGTGCCTTACCTGACGCTGGAGTTACTGCTTGAAGCCTGGGCCACCAAAAGCAAAAGCTTGAACCACTGAGCAGCCAGTCAGCCAGAAGCCTGGGACGTGTGACTGCGAGGCAAGCACTGGCCCCTGTGTCAAGGAGTGGAGATTTGGGTTCACCTGAAATGGTCTCCAGGCTTCCAAATGAAGCTGTGATGTCCCCCACCATTTTGTTTTGGCTCCCTGCCCTGCATGTGCTTACTTGGCCTCCTTAGTAAAGCCTGCCCACCCAGAGGGAGTTAGCCTGAGCCCAGCAGGGATGCTCTGCACCAGTTGTAACAGGACTCCCAGAGCCCTACCATCACTGCTTTCTCTTCTGAAGATGTCAGGAGGGAGCCTTGGCCCACCTTTATTCCTTCCTATCCTTTCCCACAGGTTACTTCTGCCAAGATGGAACGTGAGGGATAGATCTTCCAACACATAGTCAGAATAACTCAACCAGCATGTGCTTCTCCATTTCATTGTTAGCATAAGTTCTCAAGGAAGACAGTCTCTGCCTCCTCCTCACAGGGTTCTGAAATTCCAGTGGGCCCACCCCAGGGTTGATGGTTTCTGTAAAGCACCTATCAGGTCCCATGCAGTTCAAGTCTGTGGTATTGCTTCAGTATTTCTGTAACAGGCCATGTTATTCAAGCTGCTGACTGCCAAGGGGTCATAGAAAAATCTACCCTTTGGCATGGGAGATTGCCAAAGTTCCCCTTTCCAGTTATTTAGGTAATTATCTTTTCATAAAAATATACAACCAGGATTTCATCTAAGTCAATGGTTTTCAAACTTGTTTTTTAGCAGCCAAATTATAAGTTAAGTTTAAATCAAAAAGAATGTTGATAAGCACCAGTTTGGAAATACCTCCAGTGATAACAGGCCTCCACATGCAGTCCGTCCCTGGGGCCCAGTGGAGACAGCATCCTGACACACAGAGGGAGTTGCCGTGAATGGTGACAGTGTTTTAGCAGTTCACTTGGGCGTCTCAGGATGTGTGCAGTTGAAATTACCTCCATGCTAGAAGCTAAAGGTGGAGCAGTAGGAATTGTTTTCACAGTTGAATCATTAACAAATCTAACAGCAGCTCCTTCTTTCTTTCTTTTTTTTTTAAATTTTTTTAACATTTATTCACTTTTGAGAGACAGAATAGAGTGTGAGCTGGGGAGGGGCAGAAAGAGGGAGAGAGAGAATCCAAAGCAGGCTCCAGGCTCTGAGCTGTCAGCATAGAGCCTAACACAGGGCTCGCTCGAACTCACTGACTGCAAGATCATGACCCTCTGAGCCGAAGTCGGATTGTTAACCGACTGAGCCACCCAGGCGCCCCAGAAGCTCCTTATTTCTTATAAAGAGTAGATCTCAGAGAAAAGCCCCCAGGCATGTGGTAAACACAAAAGCCAACTCTGCTGTGATATCAGAGCATGGATGTCATCCTCCTAGAGGACTGCACTGTGACAGGAGCTGCTCTGACAGGTTCGGTCTCACTGAGTGATGGTTCCCCAGGATGCTGTCCTGTACTATTATTGATAAGTACTCTACTTGCAGGCCAGAATTTAAATAAATATGTAAGATATCCTCTTCCCTAACACATTTTCAGCAGATACAGACACTTGCACACAGAGAGCTGAAGAAACTTGGTCCTGAGAGCCTCACAAAAGCAAGTTTGCCTGATAGCACAGATTGATGTGTTGATGGTCTTCAGTGGGTTAAAGTTGGCATATCAGACTTCTGAATGTGGTGTGTCTTGTGTAAGTTTGAAAGGAGTTCAAAGTACTTGTGAATCAGTTAGTTGGAAGACCACTTGAAGAACCCTAGGGTTTCACAGAACAGTTTGAAAACCATTGTTCTAGTCCAAACTCTTGTAAGCAAAGCTTTATCAAAACACCTTCATCCAAATACGTATTTATCCTGTTTTTAAAGACAGGCTTTGGTAGCTCCATTGGGAGATTTCCCCATGGTACATTTGGGAAATTCTCAAGATATAGTAACTCCTACCATGAGAATGTATTTCCAAACGTATTTTTTCTTATTTTAAACATATTGCTTCCAAGGCTCGCTTCTTGTCAGAAATCTCAGTGGCCCTGGTCCTACTTGGCAGAGATCATCTTTGAGGCTGAACTGTGAACATTGGCTGTCCTTTCTCTCCTGCTTCTACATTCCATTCCTGTTGTTAGTCTGGTTGCTCCTGGCTGAGTCCTTAAGGAGATAGACTCAGTTGAGCATGATAGTTTGGAGTCTTCCAGCAGTGCTAGTTCGTCCCTTCCCTGAGGGTGCACAGCTGGCTGAGCCTGCCATCCTGTCCTGCCTGATGAGCTCAAGCCTCCATAGGTGTCTGAAGGGGTCCGAGTGTTAGCCAGGCTGCCCTTCCAGAGAAGAGATCTGATACGGACCTGCCATCCTGTTGATCTCCACTGGTCTAAGGCTGACATATATTTGGGCCACAGGGTTAGGCTTAGAGCCTTCAAGCCTAGGGCACATGTGATTTCTAGTGTGGAGCACCTGAGAAACCCTTTCTGTTTCTGGAACTGTGATTCAAATTTAAACCACTGAATCAGCCTTGAGCATGAGTTGAAAAACCATTCCAGGATTACATTCTGCCTTCTGGTTTGTCCATTCTTAAAGGGGAAACCCTCGTGTAGAACAAAAGGCTGCCAGGATCAGCATTTAGATTGAGAGATTTGGAGGCAAAGGGTAACACATAGCAGCTGACTTTTGTTGGACTCTGCATATGTTTATGATTCTGAGAGTGTGAGGACCATCCGCCCAAGCTCAGGCCCTCCGCAGTGACCAGTCTCTGCATCTCAGGCATGTGAAGAACGTCACATCCGTGCTGCACAGCCACGTGGAGCTGGACGGCAAGGAGTGCCTGTAGCCAACAGACCTCCAGGAGCCCTAGGGCAAATAGTCACGGTTCATTGTGTGCTTTTAAAAAGAAGTCTGGCTGAAGTTGGGCCTAATTTCAGAAGAAACAGGATTTCCTTCATCTCAAACCTATCCAGTGAAAGTGGTTCTGCAAAGAGTTTGATATGCTCACCAGTGGGGTCACAGGTGAATTCTTGGGAGAGCTCTGACTGCCTTTAAACCTAAGGATTGGTGGCCTTGCAGAGCTTTTTTAGGATGTTCATATCTTGCCTTCAGTGTCTCAGCCTGGGGCTTCTAATGTTCAGTAAAAAGGTAGTAAGTAGCCCCTGATCTGCCCTTGAATTTTTAAAAATCTTAGATGCAGTTGAGTCCCAGCAGAGGCAGGATTCCCAGCAAAGCCAAGGCCTTCTGTTCTGTCTTAACTGATCAGAGGTCTAAACAGCAATCACATTGCTAATTGGCTATTAACTGTATCACTTGTGGTTTTTAGTGAGCACTCCCTTCCACCACCAGGAAGTATGTAGCTACAGCACGTGTGTATTGTAATGTACTTAGATGCATGCTCTCCAGCTGTTCTCCTCGCCTTCTTGCTGTATCTCTGTTTCTTATGCTTCATGTCATTGATTGCTTTGGGTATGGGGGCACAGGAGGGTTATGTGATCCAGTAACTCTCTCTTCACCAATTCCTTGTTGTAGACTATTGGGGAGAGTCTTATTACAGTGACCTCATCGACTTGCATCT